ACTATGAAATATGGCAGATGGATGTCAAAACGGCTTTCCTAAATGGAAACCTCAAAGAGGATGTATACATGATACAGCCAGAAGGTTTTGTCATTCATGAGGATGCTGGAAAGGTATGCAAACTTTAGAAAGTCATTTATGGTCTGAAGCAAGCACCAAGGAGCTGGAACATTCATTTTGATGAAGTGGTCAAAGAGTTTGGCTTCATCAGGAATGACAAAGAATCTTGTGTTTACAAGAAGTTTAGTGGGAGCGCAAAAGCATTTCTAATCTTGTATGTGGATGACATATTGTTGATTGGAAATGACGTGAATTTTCTTAGTGAAATAAAAGACTCATTGCAAAAGAGGTTTTCAATGAAAGACTTAGGCGAAGCGGCATATGTATTGGGCATCAGAATCTATAGAGATAGATCAAAACGCCTGATAGCGCTTAGCCAAAGCACGTACATTGACAAGGTGTTGAAAAGGTTCAACATGGAGAACTCCAAGAAGGGCCTTCTCCCCATGTCACCTGGTACAGTGCTTTGCAAGAATCAGTGTCCTCGGACTCTCGATGAGCGAGTGCAAATGAATGATGTTCCATATACCTTGGCAGTTGGTTCTATTATGTATGTCATGCTATGTACAAGACCGGATGTTTCCTATGCACTAAGTGTTAACAGTCGGTACCAAAGTGATCCAGGATTGGAACACTGGGCTGCAGTCAAGGGTATTCTTAAGTACCTCAGAAGGACCAAGGATTTACTCCTTGTGTACGGAGGTGATGAAGACCTCATTGTAAGTGGTTACACTGATGCAGGCTTCATGACTGACCCAGATGACTTCAAATCTCAATCAGGCTATGTTTTCATTCTGAACGGTGGCGCAGTAGATTGGAAAAGTTCCAAACAAAAGACTGTGGTGGATTCTACGACGGAGGCGGAGTATGTTGCTGCTTCAGAAGCCTCCAAGGAGGCGGTATGGATCAAGCAATTTCTTGAAGACCTTGGTGTGGTTCCTAGTGCCCAGGACCCGGTGGAGATCTATTGTGATAATAGTGGCGCCGTGGCTCAGGCAAGGGAGCCAAGTTCGCACCATAAGACAAGACATATTCAACGCAAATATAAACTCATTCGACATCATGTCGAAGAGGGTTTAGTGAAAGTACGCAAAGTTCACACGGATCTGAATGTGTCAGACCCGATGACAAAGCCTCTACCACGAGCAAAGCATGAGCAACACCGGATAGCCATTGGTGTTAGGGAAGCCATGTAACTGGATTATGACTCTAGTGCAAGTGGGAGTCTATAGGAGATATGCCCTAGAGGCAGTAATATCAGTTATTTTGTATCTCCTGGTTTGTAATGAAGGTTTATGTTCCATGCTATAACTGCAATGATTCTCGAGTCTGCAAATAAAACGAGGCTTGGAGGGAAACTCATGTGCACGTGTGGGATAATAAACGGTAAAATGTATTCCTAGTCAAGCCTCTATGACTGGCTCAAGTATTGCATGATGATCCTGTTTTCCTGATCATGGGCATGACTATGCTGGCAATTTTGAGGGCACAATTATTAGTAGAACACTTGTGTTGTATCGACCCATTTGATGTTATGCTATGAGATACATTTGTCACAAGTTAATGGTTAATAACACAGAGAAGTCAATATTTGCATAATTCCTTAGACCATGAGAGTATCGAGTTCCTTCATACTTGCTTCGTGAACTTTGGGGTATGTTAAACGTCATCCGTAACTAGGTGGCTATTACGGCGGCTTACGGGTTTACGGAAAAGTATGGCAAGTAACGAGATAGCTCAAGATTGGGATTTGCTCCTCCGACGATGGAGAGATATACTCGGGCCCTCTCGGTGTAACGGTATCCATCATCGTCTGGCCAGACACATTGTGATTTGACCACTGGGATGCCGGAACACGGAAACAAGAAAAGAGAACAAAACCGGTAACGAGGTAACTTGCATGGTGGACAAATTGTTGATCCACAGAAATGCAATAAATCTCACCTCGGGTGTTTGTGACATATCGTAAAGCAACAGGAATAGCTCAAGGCAACTGGAGGTTCACTCGAATATTCATTCGTGTGGGTATAGGGGTCAATACGGGTGTCCACGGCTCCGATGTTGATCATTGATCGGAAGAGGTTCCAGGTCATGTCTATACTTCACCGAACCTATAGGGTCACACGCTTAAGGGTCATCTATCTGCTGAATACTAGACAAGGAGTCTGAGAGAAAATCACCGAAAAAGTTTCGGACACCGGAAAAGTTTCGGACAGCGGAATCGTACCACAGAGAGAGGTCATCGGATGAGTTTCAATGATACCGAAAAGTTGTTTCGGGATATACCATTAAGTCAAATTGGTTTCGGCAAATGCCTGATAATTCTTGGAGGGTGCCAGAATCATTCTGGAAGCTTTTTGGAATTTTCTGAGATAAAAATCGGAAATATTTCGGAGCTGCCGAAGCCACTTCAGATGCGTTTCGCAGATGAAAATCACTAAAACCGGAATTGGTTCGGAACGTGTTGAAAATTATTATGGTGGGTATTGGAAATGTTCTAAGCCCACATAAATATTTTCAGTTCGAACGGACGCTGAAAAATGTCGTCATGAATAGTGAAAATGCTTTTTGGGATATTTTATGGTGAGTCACCTTTTGGGATATTTCCAAAAGGCTTCTAGAAGGGCTTGGGGGCCAAGCATGCTCCTCATGGGGGCCCCCAAGGGGGTTGACCGGCCACATGTGTGGGGCTCCATGGAGCTCCACTTCCCTCCCCATTATGCCCTTCATGTGTGACATTTGCATGGGCATTTTGGGTTTTTGTGGGCCATCCCTACCCCTTGGCTTTCCTATAAATAGAGGAGGAGTGGGCAGCCCAAAGCTCATCCCCTTGCTCTCATACACATGCCATGCATTATCTGGCTTCTTCTCTCCCTCCCACGAAAAGAGTTTCGTAGAGCCGTAAGGCTGTCTGGGTTTCGGCAGGAACTAGTTCTGGACGGCGAAGCCCTGCCTGATAGCTGTCACCGTATGCGTGCAACCCCGTAGAGAGGTCGTAGTTTCGGTCTTTTGCCCGAGGGGCTGTTCGAGTGTCCTCCCGAAGGGCTGTCCGAGTCTCCGTTCGAGTTTCGAGGGTCCTCCCGAAGGGCTGTCCGCGACATCGTCCGAGGGACTGTCCGACCGCCTCCCGAAGGGCTGTCCAGCGAGGGAGTACATCCTTGCGGTTGGAAGGTTGTAAATCCTAGCTGCGGGGATCTGCACCAACGATCTCCACCGACTCTTCTTCCGCTGTGCTTCGAGTCGGTACGGAACAGATCAAACCTTGTATACAGTCTTCATAGTGATCCTGGGCGTGCTCGCTATACCGAAAATTTTTGTTTTCTGTCGCGTTCCCCAACACAGGGCGCGGCTCGCTAGGGCCGCCCCGTTATGCAGTGGCACTTCGCGAGTGAAAAAACTTCAAATAGTAGCAAACCGGAATTGGGATTCGAACCCGAGACTACTTTGTGGTGGGCGCGCTGTGCTAGCTGCTCGGAACGGACAAGGTCCTCTTCTAGATATACAACGTGGTTGTTAAAGAATGAAACGACATCGGCAAAAATCTAAATGACCTGATGATAGTGAACTAAAATCGTTAGCCACTGTAAATTGTAACTAAAATAGCAGCCCGGTGCATATGAACTATAAGTCACAACAAATTTTTAAGAAGTAGAAATTTTAAACGTCAATTTCTTTTCAAAAAATTGTAAATACTTTCTGAAACGTGAATATTTACTAATTTATGAACAAAATTTTGAAAACTCACTCATTTCCTGAAAACGTGAGCACTTTTGGGCTTCTCAAACTTTTCTTGATAAAAGGAGCAAATTGGGAATGAGAACAATTTTTGAAATTACAAACAATCTTTTAAACTACACATACGTTTTCTGAAAAATAGGAACGAAATTTGAATTCGAAATTATGAAAAGCGTTTTCAAAATGCAAACATTTTTTGAAAATTCCCCGAACATATTTTGAATTTACACACAAAATTTTAAAACATGATCATTTTTTTGAATATATGAACATATTTGGAGAAGCTAGAACATGTTTGAGTCCTCAATATTTTTGAAGTTGTGAACAAAACTGAAAACACAAACATTTTTTTCAAAACACGAACATTTTTCGAAGTTACAAACAATATATTCAAATCGCACTTTTTATAAATTTCCGAAAATATGAATTTTTTTGAATATGTTAAAATGTTTGGAAAAGCTGGAACATTTTTTTGAAATTAGGGAACATTTCTCGAGCTTATGATTTTTTTAGAAATGAGAACATTTTTTTCAAATGCCTCGAACATATTTTGAGTTTGCGAACATATTTAGAGAACATATTTCTCGAGCTTATGTTAAAATGTTTGTGAACATATTTTGAAAGCAAGAACTTTTTTGAAATTCACGATCATTTTGTGAATTTTTTAACAAAAACATAGAATGCGACATGAACCTTTGAAAAATCTGAAATTAAAGTTTTTTCATGATTTTCCATACATTTCTAGTAAAATAAGCGAACAAATTTGTAATTCTAAACTTTTTGGAATTTCTGAACAAATTGCAAACCAGGAACGTTTGGAATAAATAAATAAAATTAAAAGAATAAAAACATTTTTTAAATTCCTGGACATTTCACGGTGGATGCGTGTCTCGCTGTAAATGGGCTGGACCATGTTGATCCAATGTGAATGTGTCAAAAGGAGATTGCCTGAGCGGCACAACCCGCCTGGTCCTGCCACAACCCGCCGTGATGATCAGATGTCCCTTGGAATGTGTAGGGGTCACTAGCGCATAGCTTTTCCTTTTTCATCATCTGACAAACCAACCACACCTCGCGAGAATTTCCACGCCTCTCCCGAATCGCCATCACTTCCTCCACCTTCGGCGCCGCGTATCTCACCTTCACGTGCACACCGCCTGCTCGACGCAATTCCCCACACGCCCGCGAGCACACCAACCTCCCCGATGGCAACCGCCACCGCCACCGCCACCGCCGCGGCGTCCCCTTCCACCTCCTCCTCGTTCCTCCTCCGCCGACCCCTCCCTCCAAATCCCACGGCCGCGCGCTGCCTCGCGCCACCGCGGTGCCGCGCGGGCCTCCGCACCGCGCGCCAGGTCGCCGTCAGCAGCGTGTCCCCGTCCCCGTCCCCCGACGTGGCGGACGAGGAGGCCGCGGCGGCGCCCAAGCTCGGCAAGCGCGTGTGCGTCACGGCGCCGGTCCGCGTCTACCACGTCCCCAAGGCGCCGGACCTGGACCTCCGCGGCATGGAAGGTGTGGTCAAACAGTATGTCGGTGTCTGGAAGGGCAAGCGCATCACGGCCAATCGCCCTTTCCGGGTGGAGTTCGAGCTGAAGCTCGACGGACAGGACAAGCCGGTCCGGTTCTTCGCTCACCTCCGGGAGGACGAGTTCGAGTTCGTCAGAGACGAATAGGATCCCTCTGTTTGTCTGTAAAATAATGCGCGCTTGGGGGCGGATGCAGCATATGTACATTAGAGAGGAGACTGAAGAGGGGCGACGAGATGTCAAGTAAGTTGATGTTTGTTTACTTGTCATGTCTCCTGTGCTCCTCACTCTCCTGCCCAGTGCTCAACATCTAAATTTTCAGATGTGAGAGTTGTTCGAGATGATGAAGATTATGAACCAAAGCAATTATACTGCTGTATCTGTTGTTGTGTTCAATAGTTTTATCTGTTTACTCTTTCAAGAAAAGATATTGTTCGAGAGGAGTCAGTGGTAATGAGTTAACGATGGATACCGATCTGTCTAAAGGGTGGTAAGTATGTGCTTAATAGGAGCAGAAGATATCATATACTGGTATACTGAATTCAACATGTACTCCTGCACTGAATCATTATTTAAGGGAATATGTAGGCACTATGGAACACTCTGAATCATTCAAAGTATCATGAAAATCACTGAAAATGGATGGTACGCTGCCAATTGAATATGCTAGTTCTACTAAAACTGCCCCCTTAATCCTTTACTTTGGGATCAAGAGCCTTCACCATGTTGATATCTTCTGATGAAGTTTAGTGTGTCGAAATTTTATCTGATTCACTATGTTAATCCATGGGCAGGCATAACTTTATCTGATTTGACTGGAAAATATGTCAAAATTTTCTGCATGCTGAACAAAATTAATTGCTTATTTGAATGCATACTGTAGCTGTTAAAACTGAATATACGGTGATCCCACTTTCTAAGGCACTTTTAGGTTAGCTTTCCAAACCCAAATTATAAAAGAAGCTGTCTTGCTAACAAGATGAAATTGAAGACATTGACAGAAAGCTTTCTGAACAGCGTTGATGAGATATATGCAAATTATTTTCACACGGACCTTCAGGATGGTACCCCGAGCTAGCACAAACATAAAGAAAAAGAAAAAAATAGTACACACTGTAGGCTCTATTCTTTCTTGATACATGTCGCTCCTTACTGCAATATATATTTTCAGCTTAGTGTTAATAATCTTCCAGAGATTTAAACCTTGTCCAGTTCACGCGCGCAAAGAGTAAATGCTATGATTGTTATGTGCTCAGTCTGAATTTAAGGCCTTCATGTTGTTTAAGCTCTTGTCCTTCCATCCACGGGGGATATCTAGTGCAAACTAGTACGTCATTGCTAACTCCTCATTTGAGTAGTTGATTGTTCATATTTCGAGCGATGTGAGGTAGGAGTTGTTCGCAAAATGTAGCTTTCTGTGACCCTCATATACCTTTTCAAATCCATCCACCCAAATCACATCCGGGTGGGCATATGTAACGATTTGAGTTAACACTCAGAGATGAGTTTGTAATATATGCACTCTCTAGTCCTTACCTATGTATTTCATTCTACTTGCTATATTATCTAAACTCAACATACTGGTAGCATAAGGGTTCTGGTTTTTCCCAGGCCTACCATGAGTGTGTTAGTATTGGCCAAGCTCTTGACCAATATATAAGGGTGCTGAAGTTTCTGTTCTGTTAAACAAACCATAATATTTGAGGTTCAGTATCAAATAAGAACTTTGATCTCAAGCCATCAAAGTGTGTGTATTGTGCCTGGCTTCTTGTTTCGTGAATAAACAGTGTGATGTTGGAATCTATGAGTAGGAAATCTTATTGTAAGTTTATCTTGGAAATAGGGCCATGAAGCGACTAGTGCTGATTCTTCACTTTTTGCCTATGATTTTACAGTTCGACTAAATACCGATCATTTTTAAGAAAGGGGAACAGGCATACATAATGCCCTTGAACTATTCAAGTTATCTAATTATATACTTAACACCTATGCTATCTACCTTGCACTGCTCAGCTGCTGAAACTGAAAAAATAATCCACAGGCCCGAGTCCAACCTGGTATTGCCCTGAGTGACAGTGATTTCGCCTAGTGTGCAGATTTCGTGCAATGCAGCACATAGCAATCTGAATTTAACTCCTCTTTTTCTCCATCTCTCTGCTATCCCCCTTTTCAGGTCAACTCCATCTCTTAGCTACTCAAAGCATTACAGTCACAGCCAGCGCTTTGTTCTACCCATCTCCAGTTTAAGTCAACATATAATGCCTTTAATTGTTGCGTCATGCATCGAGATTAATCAGGCCTTGTTTAATTGTGACCGACAGTCCTTGAAAGTTTATCTGGGTTGTGCTTGTGCATTTGTGCTTCAGTTTTCGGATAAACAAATTAGCATCGTGAAGTGGCACTTTACTGCAACAATGTTGATAATGTCAATGTAAGAGTTTTCATAATTTCCTAATCCAGGCCAAGTAAGTGTTACATTTCGGTATGTTTTGCGAATGTAGTTCAATGCCCATGCGCTCCTCTTTATTATTCAATCAATCGATTGGTTCAGGCGGCTCTGTCCGACCTGGGAACTAAATTCTCTTCTTCAAGTGTTTGCACTTGAAAATATTTTTTCAGTTTTATTTGTCCATCTTGACAAATGCTTGAATACTGCTTCTACTTCAATGCATGATGTGCTAGGGCATTCAGCGGTTTTGCAATCTTTGCTTTAATGGTACTTGCTCTTTTTGGTGGGGAGAATTGTATTTTTCTTTGACAGGATTTGGTGGGGAGAATCGTACTCATATGTGATGTTGTCTGGATTTGTTTCTTGATGCTTCTATTGTATTAATTCCAGCTTGAGTAAAATGTCAGAAGAGACTTGGTAAAATGTCTTCCTTTGTTTCATCTTTCATGTTGGGTTGTGTGAGTTGCGGTATGAATTATAACCTTTGTACTGCACTCCAATTCTGTATCTATTTAGATGCATATTCTTTAGTGGAAAACAATCTGCGACAGATCTCAACGGAGGTCATTGCTGCTTGATCCGTTGACCTAGCATTCTTCGATTGTTTTTGGCTGATTTAGTTAATCAGATGACACCTGGTTGACATCGAGCCTGGTAATACTAGCACCAATTTGACCAATTTGAGATCTGCTACCTCTTGCGTTCACCACCTCTCAGACACAGGGGCAGCGCAGCCCCTCTCGATAATGATAGGCAGCTGGGACGAGGTTAAGGCAAGTTTAACACCATCCTATTCCTAGCACGCCACTGCCTCAGCTAGCTCTGCACCTGCACAGTCAGGGATTTGAGTCCCATGCACACGAGCAGATCAGGCCATTGCAGTCCGTTGATCACCGCATCCCATAAAGCAGCAGTGGTGTCCTCCACAAAACTGGCGCTACTATTTGACTTGACCCATCCAGGGCCTGGCCTGTATCAACATTCATCTCTGCATCCTCTCATCAGCATCTATCTTCTTCAAAGTCTATATAATGGGATGCTTTCCTTCACAGTCTCCTCTCCAGATCTCCACTTTTGTTGTTCATGAACAGAGGTTGCTTTTTGGCTCTTGGGCTCCTTCATTTTTTTAAACTGATTTTTAAGTTTAACTTTTTATTTGAAACAAACATACACATGCATACGGATGAACTCTCTCCATTCCTAAATATAAGTCTTTGTAGAGATTTCAATATGAACTACATGCAGATGTATATAGACATAGTCTAGAGTGTAGATTCACTCATTTTGCTTTGTATGTAGTCTATATTAAAATATCTAAAAAGATTTATACTCCCTCCATTCCAAAATATAGTGTGCCCGCGCTTCCCGAGTTCCAACTTTGACCATAAATTTAACCAACGAGACCAACTGCGGCGGAAGAAAAAAATATATAATTGAAAACTTCTTTCGAATATGAATTCACTGATATAATTTTTGCTCCCGCCGCAATCGGTCTTGGTAGTTAAATTTACGGTCAAAGTTGAAGCACGTGGATAGAGGAAGCATTACATTGTGGAATGGAGGGAGTATTTAGGAACAGAGGAATACTGCATGTTTGTAAAGTTTAATGGTGAAATACATTTTGGTGTGAGCTACACACACAAAAAAAACATGTATTTCTAGCACATGTATTATTCACTATCCAAATGTATTTCATCATAAAACTTCAGTAGGTCCAGGAAGGAGAGAGAGCTGGCGGCAGGGTCACGGAGGTCCAGGTGCTCGGGCTGCTCCGGGGGGCGCCTTCAGTAGCCGGCGTGGCATGGTGTGGCGCGTCGCCGGAGCTCCCCTGCTTCCCTCGCATGCACACAAGGTGTTTGAGAAAATGCCAAAGAGAGGGATGGAAGAGGAAGAAGGATGATGATGACCTATGGGTAGCCCTGTGCGTTCGGTTTATTCGGTTTACATGGTTCGGTTTATACGGTTTTTCGGTATGTACGGTATTAATACTTCGGTAAATACGGTATGAAATTAAAATACGGTTCGGTTTCGGTATATACCAAATTATTTCGGTATGGTTTCGGTATATACCATAAAAACCAAAGTTGACGCGAATTTGAAAATGACGTAATAATAATTTGTAAATTTATGACTCAAAACACATTCTATTTTACACAAATAGTATATGACTATATATATAAGTATATATGCATGCATTGATTCATCTGTTGATGGTTATGGACGTGCTTAGCATTTTAAAAAGAGAAAAATAACAATGTTACAAGAAAAATGTTGGTGCTTAGTAGTGAATTTGACTCATGTACAAGAAAAATGACAACTTGTACGGTTGTTCATCTCAAGAAATATAAATTTATCTTTTACTTCGGTTTATTCGGTTAACCATTCGGTTTTTCGGTATATACCATAAAAACCAAAGTTCAAATCGGTATGAAAAGTTCATACCATACCGAAACCAGAAACCATAAAAACAAAAAAATCGGTTCGGTTCGGTTTATTTTCGGTATGGTTTTTCGGTTCGGTTTAAAAATGCACAGAGTGACCTATGGGTCCCTCTGTCATAGCGGTCAAACCTAACGTAGTTGACTTTCTTGCCACGTCAGCCTTGACGGATGGGCCTTGCATGTTGCGTTTAAATCGTCTAAACCAGCCACTATCTGAAAGTAGTCGTTTTTAGTGAAAAATTAAGGTTCAATTGATA